TGCAGATGTCCTATCGCTGTCTGTGGTTTGCCAGCTCATTCTTTTAACAGTATGAGAACATGAAGTTTTTAATTTTGATGGAGTCCAGTTTGTCAATATTTTCTTCTGTTATGCCTAAGAAATTTTTGCCCACCTCAGGGTCATGAAGATATTCTCCTGTGTTTTCTTCTGTAAGCTTTATTGTTCTACCTTTAGCAGCTAGGTCTAAGATCTGTTTTGAATTAACTTTTGTGAATTGTGTGAAGTAAATTTCATTTTTTCTTTACAGATATCCAGTTGCTTCTGCAACATTTATTGCGTAGATCAATTCTTTCAGAAGCCTCACAGAATTGCAGTGATGTTTTAGTGCTTTAACATAAATCAAGTGACTATATATGTGTGGCTCTGTTTCTAGATTTTTTATCTATACTTGTGCACTTCCACAGTGTCTTGAATACTGTAGCTCTAGAATAAATCTTAAAATCTGGTAGTATACATTCTTCAACTTAATCTTTTTTAAGATTCTACATCGTTTCCATATAAATTTTGGAATCAACTTGTCAATTTCCACAAAAGAAAAGCTCACTAGGAGTTTGATTGCTACTTTATTAAATCTATGGATTTGGGTAGAATTCACTGAACAGTAATGTGTCTTCCAGTCTATGAAGATGGAATATATCTCCGTTTATTTAGATTTTAGTCTTACATTCTTCAGCAGTGTTTTGCAGTTTTTAGAGTATAGGTCTTAGAAATTTTGTTGAATTAATCCTTGTATTTCATGTTGTTTGATGCAATTATCAGTGGTATTTTGTTAAATTTCACTTTTAATTGCTTGTTGCTAATACATAGAAGTAAAATTGAGATTTTGTGTGTTAACCTTGTATTCATGACCTTCTTACATTCACTTGCTAATTCTAATAATTTATTTATAGAATCTTTTGAATTGGATTTTCTACATGGACAGTTGTCACCCACAAATAATGACAGTTTTACTTTACACCTACCAATCTTTGTATTTTCATTTCTTTTTCTTGCTTTATTACACTCTCTGGGAACTACAATACCAGATAGAAGTGGTGATAGTAGGTAGCCTACTATTAATGAGAAAATTGCTGTGTCAGTATGATATTGGAAATATTCTGGGGGTTTCAATTAAGTGTTGATGGGATTTTCTCTTGATATATTTCATGATTTGCTATTGTTTTAATTTGAACTTTTGGTAGTTGTGTTTGTCAGGTTGATTGGTTTTAGTTTTAAATGTATTGAATGTCAAGATTTTGGCCTCACCTGGTTCATTTGTTCTCAACTGGGGACATTTTTCCTCCCCAGGAGACATTCAGCAATGTCTGGAGACATTTTTGGATGTCACAACTGGGGGAAGAAGAGTGCTACTGGCATCTAGTGGGTAGAGGCCATGGATGCGGCTAAACATCCCACAGGTATAGGACAGATCCCCCCACATAAAGCATTCTTCAGTAAAAAAATGTCAGAAGTGTTGAGAGTGTAAAGACCTGATCTGATTCAGTTCCTTCATTTGATAAGAAACTGGGGCCCACAAATGTGAAGTGATTTGCTGTTACCTATTTTAAGTAGCACAGACAGTACACTTCCTATATTATGAATAAAAATAATTGTCATTACTGTCAGATAGATAGTATGAAAAAGTTTGCATATGTCATCTCTATTCCCCAGGAAGGTAAGCGTTATTCCGCATTTTATAGATCAGGACACTAAGTGCTTCATGCGTTAATTAACTTATTCGATAAATATTTAGTGAAAGGTACCAGGGTTTGTTTTTGGTTTTGTTTTGGATTTTTTTTTTCTGGAAGTAAGAAATACAGTGATGAGTAAAACTAATGGGCATAGTGGAGATTGTAAGCTAGTGAGGAAGACAAACCAAACACAGTTGAGTAAGGATTATAAACTATAGGAAGTGATATAAAGGAAAAAGGGGATGAGATAGAGATGAAATGTGAGGAGGAAGTCCACTTTGCAGGGAGATTGGGAATGGCTTCTTTGATGTGCTGACATTCAAGATGAGACCTGACAAGTGAGCAGAAGATAGCTGTGTGCAAAGTATGGGGCTCTGTTTCAGGAGGAGGGAACACCAGGTGTGGGGGCTGAAGCAGGAAAGACTGTGTACATTTTTGGTACATAGTCAGTGACGGGGAAGGTGACTTGAGACTGGAGATGCAGACAGTGGCCAGGTAAGGCCAGGCCTTACAAGCTTCGGTAAGGATTTTGGGTTTTATACTCTTTGCAATGAGAGGTTATTGAAAGGTTTTAAGCAGGGGAGGGACACGATCCCATCTGTACTTTTAAAATTCCCCCTATTGCATGTACGATGGGTTGGAATAATAGGGGAAGAGTAGAACGCAGAAAGATGAGTTAAGGCTATTGCAGAGATTCGCCAGAGGGAGTAAGACCATTTTGAGAAATTTTTGTTTTTGACTTGGAAGTGACTGGATTTGCTAATAATAGGGATGTGGAAGGGTGAGGGAAAGTGAGAAATCAAGGATGACTGCTAGTTTCTGACTTGAGCAATGGGGCCAATTTACTGAGTTGGGAAAGACTGGGGGAGGGTCGTTTTGGGGGGTGGGAAGAAAAGGACTCAGTCGTTCGATGTCAGGCATATTAGGTTTCTTACTTAAGCTGCCGTGTAATTTCATTTCCACATTCTCCATCTTCAGCAGAAATGGTGAAAAGTTGATCATTTTTTCTAAAAAAGTGAGTTTATTTGGAAGAGTGCTGGACTGGTTTTCTGGAGTTCTGGGTTCCCGCTCTCCTCGGTCTTGGCCAGCGTCACAGGGTGATCTTCTCATCTGGAAAATGGGGCGTGTTGGACTTGGTATACTTTACGGTCCCTTTCAGTAACGTACTGTGGCTCTGAATTTAAGTCATCCCCTTAGCTTTTCTCTCACTGCTCTGCCTAACAGTTTTATAATGTGGTCCAGCTCCCTGGCTAGGACTTTTTATAGTTTTTTTCCTTTGCCTGCATGGAATTTATAGCCATGGATTTTTGCATCAGGCCTTCTTTATGCCTTTTTTTCTTGCATCTTGCACCTCAATGGGCTTATAGTTAAATAGAGACAGAAGATTCTCAGATTTCTAACCGATACATTACTTCTGGTAACAAAACAACCAACTTTTTTTTGCCCTGTCTAGGAAGTGTGAAAACAGTCCCAAGTACTGGGGTGTCTATTTTCTTACATTTTGAAAATGTTTAACTATACAAAAATCTTTTAATCTGTGTCCTTGAAAATATTTACCTTTCAGTCTATCCTGAACATGCCTTGGCTCTTCAAAGAGTCAGTAAAGCTTATGCCGAACGTAGAAGAATGACAGAAGCAAGAACCACTTCCCTGAGAGGTGCCTGTCTTCTCCAAGCTCCTGAGGAACCAGTTCCCATTTAGAGAAATGTAGAGGAACCCACAGTTTCAGCCCTTCCAGAGAAGGCACGGGAATTAAGTACACACATCAATCAAGCTGATAAGTCTCATCCCCAGTTAATATATAATAAAATATTAACAAAGCTAAATCAGATGAGTTGTTAGTTTAGCTATGTAAGTGGAGAGCAATTTTGAGGTCTGTTGCTTAAAGAATTCCAGTTCCATGGTAGAGTAGCAAATAAATGGGATTGGGGGCAGAGTGACAAGAAGGGAGATAGGTAAATCACCCGTTATTATCTCGTTGCTATCAGCTGTGGTTCTTTAAGGCCAACATAGTGGCCTTATCAGGTTTCCTAACAGTTGGATTTTAAGATCTACTTTAAGAAATAAATTTGTATTACTATTAGTGAATAAATTTGAAGGATCCGTCCTGTGCTGTGAGCAATTCGTAGTAACTAACAATAAGGCCCTGTAATAGTCCAGTGTTGGCTTTTACTTAATAAAATATTTAATCATAAATGTGTGAGTCCTGCATCTCCCACAGGAAGGCATTTCCATGCCCACTGACAAGAATAATTTAGCAGTTTCATAGTTGAGCGCTTAATTACTCATAATTGTGAAGGGTAAGATGTGATGAATTCTTCCTCGATGGACATCCTAGATATTTAACTAAGTAGATGACTTAAATTAAGCTAAGTGAGATCATTTATTACATTGGTTAAAAGCAGTTTAGGAAGAATATCATGTCCTGCATTCGATTAGATGATATGTGTGTGACTCTCTCTGCTGTGTGACTTATAGGCTGCACTGTTGGGATGGTTGGCAGATTTTTTTGGATGGGGGTTGGTGGGGTTTTTTTTAGATTTGTTATGTTTTGCCTGAGTAAGTAATGAGGATCCTTGACTATATGTAGAGTTTAGCTCTCTAACAAGAAAACTCTTTATGCCCTTTCGGTTGGTATGAGAGTGTTTGTCCTACATCAGGAAGAAGGAAAGGACTTGACAGTATCGGCTCACCATTAAGCCTTACTGCTGTGTCCTTCAGGGAAGACAGCCCGATTTGCAAAGTAGCGTCCGAAGCAGTCAAAAGGTAAAATGAAGAGGGAAAGATACAAGCAGAAAGTATTTGTAAAATGGTCTATGAAATTTCTGAATTTGAAAGAATCATATTTTGGAGCAGAGGAAAGAGGAAACCAGGTATTTTAGGAGTTAGCTGAACATGTCACTGCAGCATCAGTTGAGTCGTATTGTAAAAGGCTCAGGAGCCTCCTGCTTACCGTTAGGGAGGTTGAAACAACTTGTCTCATTAAGTTAAGCTTCTTCCCTCAAGTGTCTTATTTAGCTTTACTTCCCTTAATTCTCTTTCCATGGTGATTTGGGTAAAATGTCTGAAACCACTAAAGGTAAAAGGTTGAAGCAATCCCAAATTTAATCTATCACCTTTCTTTAGTGTATCGGAGTGTAATTCTCAGCAGTTCCTAGCGAATTCATTAGAAGACAGCAAGTCATGAAAAGTTAATAAGAAACTATTCGTTTCTGTGAGTGTGAATAAAACCACTTTGTAAGTCTGACATTCTTTTCCAGTCATAGAAACCTTGCTTTTAGCCAATTTCCATTTTCTCTGCCTCTCTAGGTTGCTTCTGGATGGGGCACCTCTGATAGCAATCCACAAAGCCAGGTATTACAAGAGGCAAGATGGCTTAGCCCTGGGGCCCGGACCATTTGTGACTGCTTTAGAGCATGCCACAGATACCAAAGCCACAGTCGTGGGGAAACCAGAGAAAATGTTCTTTTTGGAGGCATTGCGGAGCACTGGCTGTGAACCTGAGGAGGCCATCATGATTGGAGATGTAAGTAGAAGAGCCCAGGAAATGCCCTGGGCTTACCTGTCATGCTGGGAGGAGCCAACTTCAAAGCACTGCTTGGAAACACAAGCAGGCTCTTATTGGTGATATCAGATGGTAGTAAGAGGCTACCCATAAAACAGGCTTTCCAGTAGTTGTTTACTGGTATTCTAAAGAACTGAAATACTGATTATTTCTGACATTCTTCATAGTGTGATGAGATATACACAATTCAAAAGACCATCGACTGCAAGGCAATTAAATGCTTTATATGTCTTTTTGAAGCAAACTTCTACATAGATTTAGACTTTTTTGACTATTCCTTAATGCAGAGAACACCTATACCCAAAGAATTCTCCCATTATTGATTTTTTTGCTAGTATATGCTTTATGGAAGAACTTCCCAGTCTGTGAGCCACAAATAGCTAAAGATATCGATTGCCTCAGGCCTAGGAGTGGCAGGGCTGAACCTGGACAATCGGGGGGGCCCTACCCAGTGGGCCCTCCCTTTCCTTGTTCACTTTTTCCCACCTCCCTTCCTCTGTCCCTCTCCCCCATCTCCCCTGCTTCAACAAGGCAAGTTTAGATGCACAGAAAAGGTTTTAAGTTAGACCTTAAATGAAGATTTTGACATTTTAAGACTCATTTCCAAGGGCTGTTGTTGAATAATATGAATGATTTTTAAGGAAAAAACCTTTCTTTGGATGTGATCTGAATGAATCCTGCTTATACACATGAGATGGTAGGATTGATTTTATTGATGATGTTTCTTCCAGTTCTTGGATTTTTATTACCTTGCGTTTGTCGTCACAATTAGCCGAGTATATTCACCCCTATCTTGAGTAAGAATTGGAAAACAAAAGCTTCCCTTTGAAACTGATCTGTTATTCCTAAGTGTGAAGTGAATATCAGACAGTCTCAGAATCTTTTAAGTACACTGATCTGATTTGATTCCCCCTGTTAGGGACGATTGGATGGAAAGTAAGGATAATGTTACGTGGACAGCACAAGAGCTGTCTTCTGAACCTAGTTCATTCACTGTCCTGCAGTTGGTGAATCATTTACCTTAAAAGCTGCCAAATGATAGAATACTTTTTTTCCATGATCTGTTTTAAAAGCAGGTATATGTACATGTGGCAAAACATGAAACACTGTAACTGTGCTTTTTACGTTTGGTTACTAGGATCACTACTCTGTTCTTTACCTCTACCTCTATTACGCTTCCCTTTTCCAGTGGTGTGCTCCTTCAGACGTGGGTTTATCCTTTTTTACACCTCCTTCTCTTTCATTTTAAGGAAAAAAACATGGGATTACAGTTGGCCATCCTGTCCTAATAAATCAAATCAATTGGTCAGTTTTGTTGGCAAGCTCACTGATGACGCTGGACTAAATGCTTTGTTATGCTTTTCTAGGATTGCAGGGATGATGTTGGTGGGGCTCAGAATGTCGGCATGCTGGGCATCTTAGTCAAAACTGGTATGTATCTTCAGTATAATATTCTGTTTCTCTAAAACAGAATGGTAGAATACACAACTGCTTAAAGAACAGCCTTTGAAGAAATGGCAAAGCCCACTGGGCACTTTAATTCTCTTTCTGCCACAAAGCAAAAATAAAATGGGCTTAGGATTGCAGGGGAAAAAGACAATGTGAAAGGGCCCATGCTGTGCAAAGCTAGGAAGATCAGATCAGAGTTCAGAGGTATTTTAACAGTTACACAGAGATAACCATACACAATTGACCATTAGCCTTTGTATGATTTTCTGGATATACAAATCACCAAAGTTGACCAAAAGACCGTTGATAGTGGGGCTCTGTAAAAATATGTTTTCTTTTTGCACCAGCTATAAGATGAAGTTTATCTTTTTAGCAGCTGGCTAGCTAAGTGATCTGATACTTTGTGTTAATGTTTACATTTTTTAAAAAAACACACAAAAAACTTTTGTCTTTTCACTTACTGTTTTAGTAACAATTTCCTATACCAAAATTAGGTAAACCGGGTGTGGTCCCTCGAATAAATTTAAGGAAAGGGAAAGAACCTAATGGGGGAGACTCAGCTAATACGGTATCATGGCAACAGTGGACCAGTTAGGTGTCCTGGGTCTTGGTCTCAGCTCTACACTGACTGTGAGACTCTGGGCAAGGCTCTTTGGGCCATTTACAGATGATGGGGCTGGACTGGTCCCTTCTAGCTCTCACAGTGTATGAGTATTACACTGTGCAGTTTTCCTATGTGGAGTGTGATTAATGAAGTCCTTTCAAGGTAAGGAAAGAATAGTCATGAGAGTTGTGTGGGCTTGTGTGCTGTTGCACTAGGAACTTGATGAGCCTTTTCAGATAAAATGAAAAGGTCTCCCCCGTACCTGCCCCCAGCTGGCACCTGCTGAGCTTAAAACTAATAGCACATGTTTGAGGATGACAGCCAGGAGTCTGGTCCAAGAATTGTCATCGGGCTCTTATCAGTTAAATAGCAGATAGGTGGTTCCATAGATGGCTCTGTGAGTTCATATGCCTGGCTTCATACCGGCTGTTCAGAAAAGAGAAGATTTAAACACTAAGTCACAGACGAGCTGCCACTGGGAAATTTTTTAGATAGAGTATATTTACTCATGACTGTGATGTTCAAGAAAATGTGGTTGCATAAAAGCTATTTTAATTTAAAAACAGAAACAAGAAAACATAGATGTTGCTACAATTGAATAAGAAGTATTTTCCAGGCCCTGTGTGAACAAAGAATGGGAAGAGTCTTCTCATGCTGGGTGTCTGGAGTGAACCATTGGAGCCTTGCAGATACTGACTCCAGTCACTCTAGAATTAATAGTATATTGTGTTTTCACATTTCTAATTCAAAATGATCACAGTCTTCCCAGAAACATGCCCTTTGATGGAAGCAAAAAAGAGGATATATCAGGGGGTTAGGAAAAATAGCCACACTCCTCATCCTCCCCTGTATCTGAATTTTCAGACGCTTGTCATTCCTCATTATTTTATGATCTGGTGGCCATTGAGGAAACCCTCAGGTAACTATTTTCCTCTCGGGTATTGTTCCCATGAACATTTCCTTTCTTTAGGTCACATAACTAAGGATTTGCACCAAGTATGAAAACTGGTCCTATGCCAGGGTCTTGTAGGCTCAGCTTCCCTAGCTGGTCTCCATTGGTTCTGCCTTCTTTTCTGACTGGCAGTTGGTTGTGGTCAGCCTGTCACAGAGGCATCCAGTTAGTCTTAGAGAAGCCAGCAGTTCCACACAATCAAATCTAAAATGTCTAACTTAGAAACGTAGCTAAGTCCAGCTCATGAAAACAGGCCCATTTGTACTGTTCATCTTTGGTAAGAAAGAAGTCCCAAGTAAGCCCACTGTTCTGAAAGCATACAGAGCAGCCGGCTCCACTCATAAATTTGAACTCAGTGCAGTGAACAATTGCTGGGTTTCCCAGTGTTTGAAAATTACCAGAGAGATTTTAAATTATTCAGTGATAGTCTTGAGCAGTTTTGTTTCTCAATAACACATAATAGATGCTCAATATACATTTGCTCCACGATTTGTTAGTAAAGACTTTTTTTTTTTTTTTTTGCGGTACGGGGGCCTCTCACTGTTGTGGCCTCTCCCGTTGCGGAGCACAGGCTCAGGACGCAGAGGCCCAGCGGCCATGGCTCACAGGCCCAACCGTTCCGCGGCATGTGGGATCTTCCCAGACCGGGGCACAAACCCGTGTCCCCTGCATCGGCAGGCGGACTCTCAACCACCGCGCCACCAGGGAAGCCCCAGTAAAGACTTCTGACTAGCCGTAACTAGAATCTGTTTCTGTTTAGCATGTAAAACAATCACCTAGAAAAGATGGGATCACCCTTTGTCCACTGTTGTCAACATGGCTTCCTGCATTCTCCCTCCATTCACCATTTATTCGTCCAGGAAAGTATAGACTGGCACACTGAGTCAGGCCTGAGTGATGGTGGCCTGCTTCATTCACTCAGCCAACGTTATTGAGCATCTGCTATATGCCAGACACAATGCAGGTTGCTAGAACTATCACCCATTCATGAGCCACTGTGTCAATTTGTACTTTGTAGAAACCCCACTTGGCAGAGCCAGACTAAGCAAAAGCATTCTGGAAGCTTATGGCTAAGAAACCTGACTTTCACACATTTGCCTTTAGACCACTGGCTCCAAGAAGTGGGTGGTATAGCAAAAGTTAGTCATTAACTTACCTATGAGAGCAAGCAGAAACCTTGCAGAGGAGTTTATATTCAATGGGATTTAAGCTTGAGAAAAAACTAGCAGTAGAGTTTGCTGTGTGGACCATACTGTGGACAGGTGCCTTGAGGACGCTAAGGTAAGTTAGCTTTGTACGTTAGATGCTGGCTCCTTTCCTGTAGGAATTCACAGTCAGCAAGACAGGACAGGAAGCATCTTCACTACCACATTGTCAAGTTGGGGAAGGGGGGTTTTCAGGCTTGGTGTTTGCTGAACAAAGCCTCTTAAAGAGTAGTTATAGAAAACAGAAGGGATTGTAGAAAGTGGTGGGTCTGTTGTTGGGGAACCCAGATTTAGACAAAGAATACCGAAAAATGCAGAAGAATAAATAGCAGAGATCACAGAAAAGGGGATGAGGGAGCGAGGAGAAAGGGCAAGTGCAGAGGCAGTGCTGAGACTACAGGGCAGTCGGCCTCGTTCCCCCAAGGCCCCATCTAAAACAGTGTTCCTCCCTCCCTTCCTTCCTTGCTTCCTTCTTTCCTTTCTTCCTTCCTAAAATGCTGTGGAATGCTCACCATGTGCTGCTAGTCATTATGTCAGGTGCTGGGAATACATTGGGGAACATAACAGACATAGTCCCTGCTCTTAGAGAACTTACAGTCTTAGATGTGAGACACATTAAACAAATAAATATATAATTACGAATTGTTATAAATATTGTGGAGACAAAGAACAGGGTAGAGAGAGAGAGAGAATAACAGGGAGGGGATCTCATTTGGATGGGAAGGTGGGACTGACCCAAAGCCTGAAGGAGGTTGTCAGTTGAGAAGAATGTTCCAGGCAAAGGGAGCGGCAGATGTGTCCAGCACAGGACTGCAGCTGGTGAGAGAAGCACGTGCTAAGGTGAGGGGTACTGGGCCTGGTGACTGAGGGGCCTGGTAGGCAACAACAGAGATACGGGGTTCTTTCTGAAGGGCACTGGAACACATTAAGGGTGTTTAAACAGGGGCCATGCATGGTCTGATTTACATTTGTAAGAGTCTGACCGTGCTGCACCGTTCAGTTGTGAGCCTTGAATTGCAGGGTCCAGGGAGAGTTCGGCAGCAGGGCCACCCGTCGGTGCCCTGCAGGGCAACCTGTCTTGCCAGCCCGCCTGTGAGCACCGTGAGCACCCATCTCCTTCCCTCCCACCCCTGGGCGCCCTTATTTGCCCACTCGCAGGGCTCCTGTTGGGCAGCAGCTCATGCTGTTTCCAGTCACCCTCTGGAGCTGACAAGGCCTCTGCCCTATGGGGTCTGGGCTTTCATTTAAAAGCACTGATTTAATCACCATCCCTATCTGTAGGGCTGCTGGGGGAAGAAAATGATTTCAACAGCTGAGAAGATTCGAAGGCACCCTTAGCCCTCAGGTGACCCAGTACCTGTGACTGTCCATCATGAAAGACCAGAGGGCCTGGGAAATGCTGAATATGACCTTGCTTTGAATTGCCTCATGGCATTCCT